AATTGTTTAAAGTAGAATGTTATGGTACTTTGGAAATAGTTCATTAGAATTTGTTAAAAATTATTTTAAAATAGTAAGATTTTTTACTAAATAATGAAAATGAAATGCACAAGAATTCTATTTTCCTCGCTTATGTTTGATTTTAAATTTAAATGAAATTAATCTTATTTATTTTCTGCACTGGAACAGACATTATTCTTACTGTAAAATGAAACAAATCTCAGAGAATTCTATCTAGAGAAACTTTGAATCAGCAAAATGAGTTTTAGAATTATAAAAAACTGTTACAAGATATTTGTTGTTTGAGTTATTTAAAATTCATAAATACAAAGTAGAATGGAAAATATATGGACCTAAGTTAAGGTATATGAGACTAAGGTTTCACAAGGTAGACTTAGGAATTCTCTGATAAATTCTCTCTTAGGTTTACACTCACTTATACTTTAATACATATCTCTAAAGGCAGATTGTTACACCTTGGAACACTTCCTTTGATTATACTATTTTTTTTTGCAAGTTCCAGAGTACAGTAACCTGGCTTTAATTTAAATAATGAAAGTAATTTTCTTTTGAGAACTTGAGTTACTATAGAATTATAAACTCTGTCTACTGGTGAGATTTAATTTAATCCCGTGAGTATTAAAGAAACATTCCTGAGACAGTTGCCAGAAAGTGACAAGATTAGCACTTCCAGTTTATTGAAAGGATGCCTCATAGGAAAGACATTTATCTATAATAGTAAATGGTTTTTCTAAATAGGAATAAAGCCTGTGTTAAGCTGTAGGAATACACACGTTTTCTGAAATAGAATGGAGCAATTTCTTTTCAAACTGTTAATGGCACAGTGACATAGAAGTGTATATAGGTAACATGTGAACATTACATGCTCACAAAAGTAGATAGTAACTCACTTCCTATCAAATAAAAATATAAATGCTCACAGGTTAAGAAAAGGTCATAAAAGTCCCTATTATAAATTAAATTCAGGCATGCTCAAAAGCAAATTGTTGTTCAGCAGTAAAATCATCTTTATAACGTATTTGCTTGCACCCAAATATATATTAGAAAAAAGAACAATAAACCTTCTGATAAACTCTATCATTCCAGATTTTAAAAACCCAGGAAGAACTAGATCATATCGTGTGATCCAAGATTTTAGCGTCTGAGACTGCTCAATCTCTTTGCCTCCTGTAACCTTTTTGAGAGAACTTGTGATTAACTAGTCAAAAAATCTTGTTTGCTTTAGCAGGTCTTTGTTAATCCCATGCCCGTCCCAACAAACACACACACGCTCCCTGCAGTACCGATTCCTAGTGTGGTCCTGTTCCCTTCAATGTATTTTCTGCAGATTTATATAGCACAAATAGAAGAATAATCAGATCTCTTCCTCTTGTTTCATCTATGCGCTATGCATTGAATGACTGATTTTAAAGCAGTTATGATTCAGTGGGGATGTTTTTAATTTGCTGCCTGTTCTCTTTACCTCTGAGGGAAGAATTTTGTAAATGCTGAATAATTTTAGAACATGTTTTCTTGGTTAAGGGTTGGATCATATTTTAAATTAGTTTTAAGAGGAAGGAAATCGTGTAAATGCTGTGGAATTCAGATAAGCACTGTGCATAGGAAATAAGTACTATAATTTAGGGTACCTAGAATGGGTAGGTCAAGCTGATGATAATAAAGGACCAGATTTTAACTTTATTTCAAAAAACATGTAATCAATATTCACTCCCCTGTTTTATTTCCTCATAGCTTGAGAAATATAGCTTAATGAATCAGAAATGTGCAATTGCTTAAGAATTCCACAGGGTGTCATGAGGTAGTTGTTCGAATCATTAATATTTGGATGAAAGCAAAGAAAGAAACATACTGTGCAGTCCTCTGAACGCCAGTTAATGTAATTTTAGATGTGACTAATACCCGTGCCATAAAATAAAAAGTTCTTAACTCATTAACACATGTATCCTATTTCTGTATCTATATAAAATATACACATGAATAAAAATATTATTAGAGATCATTTACAAGAGTGAACTATTCTATAAGGTCTTCCCAGCAGCCTTTCTATATATACCTTAGTATTTCATGTCTTACAGAATAAGTGGAGTCTTTTTCCCATATCAATAATCTGATATACCAAACCATGTATATAAAAAAGACACAAAATTTGCATTTGCCACAGCAATATGAAGACTTTTAAATCTCTCAATTTATGCCTCAAATGCACCTTTCAAAATTTTTTACTTGTTTTATTTTTATTTTATGTTTATTTATTTTACAATTATTTAAAAGAACTTTAGACATGAACACATCTGCACTGTGGATTTTGATTTGTTGATTATAATCTCTATGATATAAACATAAGTATCTTTGATAACTTCAGACTTTTTTCATAGACGTGCGATATGGGAGGAGAGGAGGAGAATTATACATATATTATGTTTATGATCCTAATTAACTGTTTTTGATTACAGTGGTACATTTTTTGCACATGGGGACCAAATTTTTATTGCTAAAACTGCTGAGTTCAGTGGAGTTGCAAGTGTATGGAATTCAACTTTGGAAGTGTAACAGAAACTTTTAGATCTAGTTAATAATAGTCCACCATCTAAACATCACACTGCTTGATCTGAGAGTGAAAAGGCATAAATATCTTTCAAAATTTCTTTACGAAGCTCTCAGTGATCAATACCATCAACGGGTACCATTGAGAAAGTGCTGCTCTTTCATAAAGTGACCCAGTGTGATTGTTGCCAGGAAGGATATTCCTAGTCGCTTTTTTGTTGTGTACTGCAGCAGATTGCTGCTCTCAGAAATGAAGACAAACAGCAAAGTGCCCTGATGAGAGTTTTTGATATTGCAGGATCAGTCATACACGTAGAAATATGCCCCACAGTAACTCCATTTAATCTATTTTCAGCATAGAGAGCCATAGCACATACTTTATTTTTGATGCACCTTCTGAAAGTATAATCTGGGGAGCAATGAGAAACTGCTGCTAAGGTCTGGGAATTCTGTATGTGTGTTGCTTTGCTGTCCTATGTCAACTGCAATATAATATCTTCTGAAAGAAAACTGTTTCTTAATCCATCTGAATGCCATGATATGAAAGAAAAATACATTGTTAGAATGAAATTTGTTATGCTCTTTCATAATGTTTTGTAGCCATTTCTGCCAACTCTGCTGGTCTGCTTATCAAATGTTTTTTGAGGGTCTAGTGTCATTTGAAAAAACTTGAGAAAGATGTTTTAATCGTTTTATATGTGTTTTACACAACGGATGAAGTAAAGTAGGGCAGGTTAAGAAACTTTGTATTCTTGAGGTCATTTGGTGACCTGGGAGCATGACGTAGGTTTCTATATGCTGTAATTCGCAAAGTCTTTGCAAATAGAAATCAAGATGAAGTACTTTAATGATGAGTTAAGGAGACGATGCAGCGCTGAACTTCTCCAGTGTTCTTTTGTAGTTTTGCTGTAGTCCATTTCCCATGGAATTTCTTAAGTTTTGCTGAATAATAACTTCTGATTTGCACTGTATGTCTTTTACAAGTGTCATTAATTTGTTTATTCTAAAGCAGTAAATGAGTAGACCAGGCTGTTGAATCTTTCTTTTAGTTACTGAACCTATTTTCTACTTGTTCAGCTTCATTCTTGTCAAAGGCTCTTCATGTTAGAACCCCACTTTCAGTAATAGGAACTCACTCGAGTCGGTTGCCTATATAAGTATTTTATGGAACAGAATTGCTAAAATACACAGAATATTTGGCACATTTTTCATATCAATTTCTGTAACTTTTTTATGAGTAAAACTCCCATTGTGGACAGCAAGAGCTTTGCATGCACAAAGAGAATGTTCTTGTTCTTACCATATGGATTTAAGCATATTATGACATTATATATAAACTGACATGCTAAAATAGTAGACTAATTAATTCTCTTGTTTTTATTTACCCGTACTATCTTTCAGTCCTGAGTGTCTAATGAAACTATTTATTTGTGCTAAATATTATGGAGCAAATTTTGGCTTTATATCGGCAAAATACAGAGTGGTAGCAAGAGCACAGTATGAAGGGAGGTTGATTCTCTTGACAGACTGTAATAAAATTTTACATGTCATGTACCTAATGTCCTCTCTGCATTATGCCCAGAAGTTCATAGTAGGTTTCAGCCACCAAAGGTGGTTGGTGTGACCTCCAAGCTGAGCGTTTTCAGTCAGATTTGTTTCCAAGATCACATAATCCTTGTGGATAATTCTTTGTGCAAAAAAGTTCTGACTTAACCTGTATAAATCGTGACCTGCTTAACAACGAGGTATGTTTATACGTTAGCAATATGATTAAGCACTCACTAAAGGAAGAAGTAGACCTGTTTAAAGTAGCTCTCCTATCCTAAATCAAGTAGTATATATTAAATCTTAATGCAGATGAAGAAAATTAAATGAAATCATGGACTCCTGTGGGTTTGGGGGGTCTTTTGGTTTGGTTTTCTGAAATATAAACATCCTGATCTCTATTCAGAGGAGTTTCCTTTACAGCAGGGCATTGAAAGATTAGGACAGGTAGGTTATCTATCATCTTTCCTCTTCCTCAGTCTTCGGGCTCACTGAACTCACTTTGCCTCTCACTTTCTTTATCCTTCTTATTGCAACCAGAATAGTCTAAAGGGGTCATTCCACACATGCTTTAAATTACTGAGATAATGTAATACTTTAAACTAAAGCAATTAATATAGGAAAATATTTAAATAATAATACCTGACCGCACTGAGATTTTTTATTGTAACTTATTAGAAGATGGTATTTTGTGCCAAAGGAAAACAAAATGGAAAGACACAGGACAGAAGTTAAAAACTACTCATATTACACTATGTAGAAATTTTGCAGTATACTGGAACATATATATTGTGTATAAAGTGTATGCATTCACTTGGTCCTATTCTCCAAGTCCCTACTTGAATGGTAAGACAATGTTGGTGAATATTGTGATCTGTTTTCATTTTCAGATTGAAAATCTACAGGAACAACTTAGGGACAAAGACAAACAACTAACCAACCTAAAAGACAGAGTGAAATCATTGCAGACGGATTCTAGTAACACAGACACAGCTCTAGCAACCTTAGAAGAAGCCCTGTCAGAGAAGGTAATGTTTTATTATGGAACAGTGGTGCTCCTCTGGGTGAAGTGTGTCCACAAAGTATAGCTTTTTAAGTTGGTCTGGCACCTGTAACAGTGCACGTGGGTCACGTAAGGAAAGAAAGTGGCTCTGTTCTGGGATACAGTAGTGCACAAGTGATGATTCCTAGCTTATGAGTTGAATCAGGACTCTGAGCTGAGGAGCAGAAGAACGTCCTTTTAAGTGGGGATGCAGTAAACAGCAAAGGACAGGGGAAGATCTCCCCTTAGTAGATGGGGGTGGGTGGTTGCTGAGTAGATGGGCTGGGTTATCGGAAAGTCACTGACACCTGACTTAAAGGAGGTAGAGTTTTGGGTATTACTATGGCTTTGTGGCCTTGATTATTTTTTCTGTTAAGTCAGGCAAACTGTTAAAGACATTGAATTTAATTAAAAAAATAATTAAAAATAGGAGAATTACTTATAATACTTTATTTTCCTTTAAAAACTGTATACCTTTAATTTGCAAGTACCAGAGCAGAAGGGGTAAATCTGACCTATTTAAATTAATGGTAACATATCTGTCAGCTTCAGTGTAGTCAGCATTTTTTGTACTAGCTAACTTTAGGTGCGAGGTAATTCCAGTGAATCCAAGTGTGCCAAAAGATTCGTGCAAGTATCTATTTTTTGCAGCTTGCAGATCTTAATAATATATATCATTTAAATGTACAGAGGTGAGCACAACTTATTAAAATATCATGTGCCATTCTTCAATGTGTAATCTTATGATGGTATTTATGATCATGTATGACTTTAAAATGCCATGGTGACGTTGGCACTAACAACTAAAATGCTAATGTGGGTTTTTGATTTCTTTTTTACTTTCAGTCAACTTACCAATATTTGCATAATCAACAATATGAAAAAAATTGGCATTGCTTTTACTTCTGTTGCTTTATTGGATAAGCTTCTGAAAGCTTGAACATTTATGCAGGAAAAAAGTACATGCATTTTCTTAATATCTTTCATTGCTAATTCAATGTCAAGATTTATTTCAGATTGCCATAATAAAGGTTCAAAATCAGATAAATGATGCTAGTTTTAATGTTTTGGAAAAGTTTAAATAATAGATACAAATCCTTCTCTGAAATATATTTTTGCAACTCTTGTCTACTTCATTTGGAATTGTGTAGGTCTACCCAAGCAGACACTTTTGAAAAGAATCAGTGTGATTAGTGATTTTTCCAAGTAGAGTTGATTAGAACTCACATGAGGTCCCTAAGGCTGAATTCTGTACAAAGTAGTAAGTTTGCTTAAATAAAGTCAGCTGAGAAGGGTGTCTTTCCTGCGGTATTTGTAGGCGGCTCTGAGACACTTGCTCAGTGAATACTGTGAAATGCTTTCCTCTGTGACAGAGATTTCAGTTCTTTTGCTCATGATGAAGGCACTAGTATCTTTTCTAAACTAGTAATTTTGAGTAATGACATGAAACTGAATTGTGCTGCAGTGCCTGATGGACTGTTTGGTTCCTTACCAAAGTTAGGTGTTGGTATATAAGGGAAAACACTGCATATGTGAGTGGTATTATTATTCTATATCACTTCAGAAAAATTACTTTGTTAACTTAAGGAAAGAAACCCTATGATTATTAAAACTAGCCCTTTTCTACAGATGAGCTTTATAACTGAATATACCAACATTTTTTGTGCCTTGCCCAAATTATTAGGCAAATTAGTGTCTGTATTAGAATACAAATGTACAGCTCATAATTTTAACAGCAGTTTCTACTTCATATGTTTATATTGTTTAGACATTAATCGTCTATTACTGTTTTTCCTGTATTTTAGGATATGTAAGCCTGAAATCATGAATATTTATTTAGCTTCTCAACAGAAAGATACCAGCGTTGCTGCAATACAGTTACTAGATGATTTACAGTGGCTGAAGATCTAGCTAGCAATAATGACAAATTCTAAAATGTAGAATACACAATTTTAAAATCTAGAGTATAGAATATGAGAAGTAAAGAGACTGGAGTTATTGCTCTGTCCTTTAAGTTCGTTTGCTAAATTAATTTATGATTTTTGTTGCAGTACCAAGCAAGAGGACCATGTTACACAAATTCAGCTCCATGATGATTCTGATGAATTTCTTTAACATGTGGAATATTACATTACCAGTGACATCTGAAGTTACTGTCTTTTACTGGAAATCTTTTTACATTTGGGGAATTGGATTACTAGTGTACTAGATTCGAGAATGAAAGGAAAAAGCAACACTGCATAATAGAGTTAATACGAACTATCTGAGAAACAGGGTATATGATCTTAGAGAATTAGACAAAATACAGAGGAGTTATCCGGAACAAAAACAGCATTCTGTCATTTTGGTGATGTATAATAGAGAGAAATCCTGCACAACTTGTTTTCCATTTCAAGTTTGCTGAAGGCCACAGTTTTCAGGGTAGGTTTCCCAACCCTTAAATATGGCCTCTGGGGCATATTTTTTAAAGATATTTGTACATTAAAAGAAGCCAGTGGTCATCTTGTAGAAATTTCAAATGGATTATGTGGTCTAGCTTTCCTTTGTCTTCTGGTGCCTAAACACTTTGACAGTTTGTATTTGCATAGGTAAATTGTGCCCAGGTTTCCAAGTCATCGTTATGGCTCTCAGTAAGTGACCTTTCTTATCCTTATTTCTGCCTGCAGTACTATTCTTAAAACCTACAGACTTTTTCAATATACGTTAACTTTTTCTATTCCAAATACTTGTAGGAACATGGAGTAGCTTTTTTGTCCAGTTCAGGCAAAACAAGAACCCTTGGTGATGCTTTCTCAGTAACGAGTGTATCAACGTAAGCAGTATTATCAATTTAAAATTGTGATGTTACAAGAAACAATGCTGCTTTCATTCAGGAATAATTGGTTTCCATGGAAATACATTGGTTGACAATAATTAGTATGATTCTTTATTTCTTTATAGATTAAATCTCATGTCAGCTATTATGTTGTTTTTTTTTCCTAGAATTGATATCAGGCCTAGTTTTAAGCTACATCACATCTTTTTTTTATACTCTAAGGATAGGCACAATTTTTGGTTTTATCGTAAATGGTCTTTTGGTTTTATCTTTGGAAATTCACCAGTTTTTTAAGTTTTAATGAAGAAAAATCTCCTTCAGAAAGCACTCCAAGAGCATCATAAGAAACTTTTTTAAAACTCTTGGATGAAAATGATTTATGCCAGCTTAATTAACTACAATTCACTAAAATTAAATTTGATTGTATTTCCTAGAAACTATGGGAATAAAAAGTATTAAAACATGATCATGTGAATATGATACAATATCTCTGAGCATTTGTATGTTTTCCTACAATGTTTTTGCTAACTTGCAAATTTAAATTTAGGCTCTGAATTAGAAAATATGTCTCCTTATACTTTATGAGAAGTAGAATTCGCCCCACCTCTCCTCCCCCCGATTAATTGGCTTGGTCACTGTAAATGAGAAACGATTATAGATTGATGAAAACAGCATGAAAATGGGTTACTTTTAATTTTTTTTTATTTTTCAGAGATATTGCTTAAATATTTCCTTGTCAGAAATGAATTGAAAATGAACCAGCACAAGCTCGGTCACTTTTGAGCCCATTGCAGAACTATACTGAAAAATGTACTCATTCAATTCCTTACACCTCATTTTGGAGACTGTGTTATGCACTGAAAATTCTTAACAGCAATGTGGTGCACATTGCAATTAACCAAAAATAATTTTAATTCATATCCAAAAAAAAATTGAAAATTAGAATATGTAAAACTCCTATCAACTTCCTTGATGTTTTAACAAGGAACGTTGCAAAGAATATCTCAGCTCTTGGACTGGCCCAAAGCAGCTCAAGAGGTTGCTTTCATGAAGCTGATATTTATAAAGTTGGTCCTGCTGTAGCAGAATACAGTAGATAAGCAATTGAGTATGTCTGATAATAGAGCTATATGTTGCTGCAATTCAGTTCCTGCCTCTGTGATAAAGTGCAAATAGATTAGACCTGTGAGGTCCTAGATTAGTGCATAAGGAAAGCTTGCCAATGCAAATAAGACTGAAACAAGAACACATTGTTAGGATTTCTGCAAGTTAGCTGTTAATCAAGTAAAACATGGTATATTAGGGCCTTTTAACACATGTTTTTGACATTTAGCCTTATGCAGCTGACAGTTAAATTAGTCTTCTTTGGTGATTGACTGAGAAAAATTTTATACTGTTTATTAATGAAATGAAATAGAATTACATTTTAATTTATTGAAAAAGAAAGAAAAAGTTGGTAAATAAATCTTCAGGTAGACATTGGTATAAAGCTAAGTATGATTATAACAAGTTGTATTCTGAATCAATTCTTAAGCTTTTCCAGTTAGTGTAGGCTAGGATTTTAATATTGATAGTCAAGGAATTGAGAATTTATATTAGTTTTTTAGGAATAAGCCTGGCATATTTAGTATCCCATGCTATCCCTTTCTTACATAGTGTATAACACATAGCAAAAAATAGCTAATAGTGGCATTTTAAAAAAGGTTAAACTATTATGCTTGCTGGTTTTTCATTTGTATAATACTCAACAATGTTGCTGTTTAAGAACCTTCATTCTATATGAACAGATTTCTGTAGGAAATCTTGCCTGTCTATGAATCAAAGGGAGATTTAGCCATTGGATGGAATGAAGCCAAGATTTATGCACCTTATGCAGTTTTAGGCATCTCAGTGCATGCCAAGTGATACCTTCAATTTTTGCCATTTCTTTTTTTACTATATGTTAAATGGAATGCATCAATGCATAGGTCATCAATGCATATTTCTTTCTTTCTGAATGTAATGGGGTATAAGTTCTATATGTAGTGGTCAGCACTGTTTTCTATGAAATTTCTTACACTGATGCTAATTCTGTAATAATGTATGTAGAGTTATCTAAAGGTTGGGAAAGGAGTCTGTTGTCAGCACATACTAGATACAAAATGACAAAAGCACTGTGAATGATGGATAATAACTGTACCAACATACTTATTACAAGATTATTCAATATGATGCTGATTATGTTCCTATATTTAAGAGATTCTAAATATATGTATTGGCAAACTTTATTTGACTGAAGCATTGCTACTTATTTAAATAAAGATCTTTGTCTGATCGTTAAAACCTTCCTAATAATATTAAATATTAATTTTACTAATAAATACAATTAAATTTTAAAATATTCAGTATGATGGACTTTTTTCTTCCAACTATTGGCAGTACAGAAATTAGTGGAGCTGGAAGCCAATATTATATAACTGGAACAAAAAAAAAATTTAGCAGAGGAGCACAAAAGTTTAAAGTACTAGTAAATGGCTGTATAAGAAAAACATTTGGAATATATCATGTTTTGCACTTAGGTCTAGTTTCATATCCAATAATAGATTAGTCATTTAGCAAGCATCTATGAAGTTTAATACCAGCATCTGCTTTTGATGCTTGATCTTAACAGCTCAAATTACGTAATAACAGATGTTACATAATAGCTTACGTTTGCTATACAATCATAAGACAAAAGTAGGTTAATTTTCAAATATTTAAAATAAAAATAAAGAAGTATAACAATTAAGGCTGAAATTGTAATGCAAATATGCTTACTTGCACATACATGGCAGATGTTCAGTTAGCAGCCTAATAAATACCTAGGAACATTAGAGATATTCAAAGTAAGTTAACATAGCTCCGAGACGCTGTATTTTTCTATTTATTGAATTAGCATTGTGAATTGGCATTTAAATATTATCAGGGGAGTACAGACTCCATTAAAATCAAATTGATTTTGGTGTAGACCAAAGTTTTAAGTCACTAATTGAAAATAATAAAATATTTATCCAATTCAGAGATCCATGCAAATTTATTATTATTTTTAAACTTTATAAAAACAGGTAATATGACATTTAAATGATAGGAAAATGAATACCTGTGAAAGCTTCAAGAAGTGCTTGGTGAAATGCAGAATATTCCCAATCTTCTGAAAGGATCAAGTGTGTTTCCCTTATTCTAGTAACCAGTTCCTTTGGGTAGCCAGGGTGAAGGGAGCAATATACAACAAGCAGAGACAGTTGTCAACAGAGCTGTTGAGGTGGTCAGTGTGGCAAAAGGACAAATTGTGAAACTGGGGAGAAAGATCAAACAGAAGGAAACAACCACTGTTTGAGGTACCAAATCTAGAAAATACCTCTGCCTATTTTACAGAATCACAGTTATTGAGATTGGAAAGGACCCATGGAGATTATCTAGTCCAACCCTGGTGCTCAAACCAGGGTCAGCTTGCTCAAGATCTTGTCCAGTCAGTTTTCTAGTATAACCAAGATTGGAGACTGCTGAGATGAAAATCACAGCCTTGAATTTAGGCTCTAATTTATGGGTATAAGTATTGATAGTAGGCTTTCTGCAAAATGTTCCTTGATCTTTGAAATGCACAGCAGTAATCTTCAGAAGATCCTCTAGGGCTCAGAGGAATGTCATACCTAATATGGAAGAAAATGGATGAATAACCAGGATAGTCTGAACTATACATGTACCTCTGTATGTGTGTGTATATATACACACATATATACATATGTACATATGTATATATACACATATATACATATGTATATATTACATGTGTGTGTACATATATATTTAAAAGTACTGCTAATACTTAAGCTAACTCTCATAATGAGTTATTTTCTTTCTTTAAAATGACTAAGCCTTTTACATATCAAAAAAGAAGATGAGTAACTGCTGAAATATTGCTTTTGTTGTCTTGTTTTTTGAGATATAGTTACAGGTGATAGTGTATGAATATAGGCAAAGGTAAACATGTAGTATATTGGCAGTAGAATGATATATATGTATGTGTGTGCATATGTATGTAAGAAATATATATGGCAGTATAAGGAATCATGGACAGAACAAACCAACATGAGATATTTTTCTTTTATTCTAATAATAGGCTTTCATCAGTGTTGTACAGTTCTATCAAAAAGTATCTTACGCATTGAGGCTTTTTTTTTTACTGGAGGTTTCAAGCAAAATTGCGAAGAGGACTTGAACAGGCTCCATGGCTACGCTCATGGCTATAACTGAGCCAGGCCACTGGTAGTGTAGAACTATTTCAGTCAGTATGTGGTTTTGTCCCATGTAGGCTTAACTTTCCTATATGTTGTTTCCATTGCTTTCTTTGATACACACTTCCAAACTTACTCTAGTATTTCATCGATACTCTGCTTAAATTGACCTATTCCTAATTTCAAAGTAATTCTCCTTTGTACCATTGTAGACCATTAATAAAGTTAGTATGTTACTCTTACCAAGTATTTGAAACCTTAATCTGATACTATTGAGGTAGTATCAGGTATGAAATCAGGGGGAAATTTTCTATTGACTTCAATATCCTGAAACTTGATCATTGACTTGAATCATCCTCTTATTCCAAAGGTTGATTTTTCTAAGTGCTACTTAGTGTAAGAGATTTTATTTTTTCCTCTCTTAAAATGATTCCCACCTTTGCATTTTGCAATTCTTTCCATTGTTAGGAAAGAATAATAGAGCGCTTGAAGGAGCAAAGGGAGCGAGATGACAGAGAAAGACTTGAAGAAATCGAATCTTATAAAAAAGAAAATAAAGACCTGAAGGAGAAAGTTAATGCTTTACAAGCTGAACTGACAGAAAAAGAGGTCAGTCTTTGCAGTAAAATTTTAAAATTTGTGTTCTTCTATCTATGTCATTATGATGAAAGAAAATGTATTACTCTCAAATTGTTAAAATTACTGAAATTCTGCTCCAGAAGTGGTATTTTCATAAGCATTCTTCCTAGTTCTCACAGAAAATATTCTTTCACTTTTTACATAGTTGTCTACCTTCTTCTCTACTTTTTCCTTTACATAAGCCTTCAGAAGGCTTGAATATTCCATTGTTGTTCCTATTTTCATTTGTTGAACGAACAGAATTTCTATGAACGTTTCTATGTTTCACTGCATGCCAGCTCCTGTGGTTTCATTTGGTTGTAGTCTCAAAACACTGTCCTTTGCTCTAAATGCTTATCTTTGTGTCATCTCACTTGGGCGGATGGGAGGGAAAAGAGGTTTCAGGTGACTACTAAGTTGACAATAAGTTAGTGTCCTGGTGACTAGGAATTAACGTTTTACTCTTGGTCATTTTTCAGTCTAGTTTAATCGATCTCAAAGAACATGCATCTTCATTGGCATCAGCAGGGCTGAAAAGAGACTCCAAACTTAAGTCTTTAGAAATAGCCATAGAACAAAAGAAAGAAGAGTGTAGTAAATTGGAAGCACAGTTGAAAAAGGTAAGTTCCATCCTTAAAAAACCCCAACAACAAAACTAAAAAAACTTATTTTGAAAAGAGGAACTTAGGCTTCTGGAGTTAATTTAAAATATAGCCATCTTATGATATTTGCTGATGCTTTCATCAACTATTGCTAACTTTTGTTTCTGAAGAGGCTTGTATCAAAGCCACCAGTGAGCCTCAGGAATTAACCTGAATACCTATATGAGGGAATTCTGAGAAGCTGCTAGAAATAACTAAACTGAGGGCAGGGCATTGGAGAGGAAGTAGAAGAAAGTCAGAAAGTAGAAAAAGTTATTGAAGCAGCAATTTGTATGTATATGAATTTATACCAGAATTAAAAGTAGATGGAAAAGATTGCAGTATGGGAAAAAAAAAATCAAAGGTGGCACTTTCTAATGGAAAAAAATGTCTGTTTATAAAATTGAATATCTAGTTAGGTTTTATTTTGACTGTTTTGCTGATAAATATTTTCTTTTGCTAAGACCTTTTTCTAAGACTTTTTGTTGGTCTTGTTGAATATAAGGTTGTGATAATAGGGCATAATAGTGCGTAGTTTACCTCAGGTGGCAATTATTTTTATTCAGCAAGTAGCAGAAGCAAGCATTTAAAGGAGAACATTTTCAAAATCTTTATTTTATAACACGGTTTTATTTAAATTGATGCGGTAAAATAGTTTTTGCTAAAACGATTTGCAAATTTTGTTGACACCTTTTCTACCATATGTTGTTTCTTTGACCTTTTTCTGTGTCGTTTGGTAATGTCTGCTCACGTTGTTCAAACACCAGTCTTATGACATATTTGATGGGTTTAAGCATTATGTTTGCCTCCTGCAATTCATGAGTAAGTGTAGGTCAAATATTAATTTTTGATATTGATATCTAATGTTGCATTTTCTAGAAAGGTTAATTATTTGTACTTTGAGTGTTACTACTATTAGGATAATATTCTGACCCTTTTTTTCACCCAGGTTGAGTAGTACCTTGCTCTGTGTTTAAGCACGTTATTTTCAATAGCCTTGCCTGTGAAGAAGGTATTACGGAGTGTAAAGGAGGATACCAGAATGTAATTCTTATACTTCTATAATTTTTCAAATCAGGATGAGTATATGCGATTAGGTGCCTGTGCTGTATGTCCAGTTGTTGGGATGAAGGAAGGGAATCTTTTTGCAATAAACATATACAAAAGCTTTAATGAAAATCAACACCTTTAAAAATTTGATAGCTTATAAATGCTATTTACACCAGAATTAAAATATCCAAATAAGCTATCTATCCAACAGTTGTTTTTTTTTCTTTTATCAGAAAATTGGTTTATGTTGCATTTTATTCCAAAATATCCTTCAGTGCAATCTAAAACATCTTATATGTCTTCATTTTAAGCAGTAGTTAAAAAAACCCCAAAACACAGATCATGTAAAGAGTGGAAATCCCCTCAAAAGACTTGAAATCCTAAGTCAATCTTTTGTTGCTGTACATATAAACACATCATGTGATTGTGGAAAAATAAGCAATAATAAAAGTCAGAGAGAGTCTGGGATGTCTTCCGAATAAAAAGTGAGTGTATTCCTTGTGTGTAAATACAAAAGATTATTAAATGAAAGTAGAAAACGTCATAGTTCTATTATATCATAAATGTAACGTAAAGCCCCAATGGAAAGTCACTTAACATTTGTAGGAGACCAAGTATTTCCACAATAAAATGTAGTTACAGCCTTCTCTGTGGGCATGTTTAGTTGAACAGAAACAGTGACTGTTAATGAGAGTAGACTCCAAACAGTAATTTTCAATTCATGTTTTCTCTAATAAAATATTTTATGTTCAAACCTGTAAATATCCTGTGCTAATAGTAATTGAGCCCCAGAAATCTATCTTCACCCTATTTTCCCTCCTTCGGAAACTGAAACAGAAATCTGGGTTATTCTTGCATATGTCAAAATCAGGGTAGGAGGGAATATCAACACAGTTTGGAGTAAGTTAACCTGCATGTCCCATAAGCGCGCTTATGTATGAACATGAAACTTTACTGAAGCTAGGTGGAGAATGGGCGCTGTTTAGATCTCTTTCAAAAGTGACTCCAAAAAGCTGTCGGTTATTTTGAGAAATCTGAGTGCAGCTTTTAAAATATCACAGAGGTGGCACTTTTCATTATGACATTTTAGAATAATTCTAGTTAGTTTAATTATGATTTACATGTCGTACTAAATTGTATTAATAAATGTGAAGGCAGTATTGTATGCACATTTGCTAGGAGTTACTGGTTTCCATGAATAGTTATGGTACTAAGTGCTATTCCTGAAAGAGAAACATGTACAAAGGGCAAGCCTAAACCAAATTTGTGATCAAAAAACGATTTACTTTCAAAAATTTTTTTTTCAGATCCTCTATCCTTTTTTCTCCTCCCCTCTCTCTCTTTGGAGAAAATAAGATTCATCTTGTGATAATAAAACTGTTTTTAGCTGTGTCTGATTAGATCAAAAATATTTTTCAATATTACTTAACTAAGACTGTTTACATTTCAATGGGAGAAAACATACTGATTCTAAAAGCACTGTATTAATTTTAAAGAGCAGATGCTTTTCAAAAAAATAATAAATAGGCTGCTATAAGGAGTAGCTCTTGGTGACCATGCTTTTTTTGATACAGAAAATAATGTTTAAAACCATAGACATGCTTATTAAACTTTTTATGCCAAAGTTTATATATCAAAATTCATAAAGTGGAAAAAAATTCATAAAATAAAAAAAGGAAGAGCGCCCAATGCTTTTGTGCCAAAGTTCCATGCTAGTAGGTATTTAAGTACTTTTATATAAATATGTATATAAAAAAGTGTGCGTGTGTGTATATGTGTATATATGTGTGTGTGTGTGTGTGTATATAATCTTATTATCCACTTTAGAATTTCCTCCTTTTTTTGTTTGTCATTATCTTAACTTTACTTGCTTACTGACGTATTCGCTGTTGCCCAAGAACTGTTTGCCAAGCTGTATTCTTCAAAAGTCATTCTGCATAGAAAATTCAGTCTTGTGTTAAAACAAGAGAAAAGTAATAAATTCAATGATAAAATTTAATTAATCTCTTATTATTACCATCTTTGAAGCTTTGGTGATAAATTGCAGCCAAAAGCACTTCTAGTGATTCATTGCTTGAGACCAACACTTAATGTATCATCAAAAGTGGACACCTTTCTTTATTTCATGGGTTATTTAACTTGAGAAAGGGAAAGTAACACAAACCTTAAATTTCTTACTTCAGCTATTCTTTTTTAGGAGCCAAAGTCAACATTTATGTTTCCCCAGTGCCTCTCACTTTCACCAAGGAATGTTTAGAAACTTAAATTTCTACTTTTTTATGACAAGTTCTTCTGTGCAAATGCACTGGATTTGTTGAGCTAATGCTGTTTTCCTGGATCTTTCCTTCTTTTCCTGTCTGTGCTTCACTCCTTTCCAACTTTGCAATGTAGCAAGCTGAACAGTTGTTCAATCAGATGTACAATCCAGTAAGTTCTTTCTAAAAATGCCCGCTGTAACATATGAAAGCATGAGGATCCATTACCTTACTCTGTGTTGTACTCTTCCTCTGTGGAGCTTTACAGAATATTTTTGATGCTTACCTATACCCATTATATGTAAATAAATGAACTTTGTGGACTTCAAGGCCGTGTTTTGAACATGAAATGTATTACTTATAACACTTTGAAAGAGCAAACATCCTAGCCTTCAGGTCCTCAACTTCTCCATTAGAAAATGCATGCAGACAGTTATTTTTTGGTTTTGTTTTTTTTTTCTTCCTCCTTCTGGAGTACTTTATTTGATCCTTCGAACTTAAAATATCTGATGATTTTTCAGTTTATCTCAAGTGACTGAGTTGATTATGTGAGTAATAATATCTAGAAAGCGACAAGTACACTTTTCAAAAGTCTATACGATTAAAATAGTTCAGATCAGTTTTACTCATAAAAGATTGTGTGTATTCAGCGTATATATATATTACTTATATGGAACCATTGTACTTAATCCAAGAAAATGCTGAAATATAGACGGATGAACACAAGCATCAGTGTTTTAAAAAAAAACAAACAGTATTACTTTGGCTTATTTAGCATTATTATTCTTCCTAATGTCTGCTTTAATTATACAGTGTCCTTTTGTCTTGATTGCAAACCTTTTTCAGTTTGAGGGAGCAGTAACGTACATTCTCTGCAGAGAACAGTTTCCATGTTTTGGCTGAAACTGTTACAGTTAATGTGCTTTTTGCATCACAGGACGGAAATGATGATGTAACTGGATTGTAATAGCAACTTACAAATTGTAGTTTATATATTAATCATACTTGGAATTACCATGTAATTGCTATTGTATATGTAGGAGAGCTAGTTTTATAGGTTGTTAGGTAATATGATAGAACGCATTAGGGAAGGTATTGCCTCTACTGAACTCAATGGGAATTTTGCCATTAATGTCAGTGGACCAGGATTCCGTTCTTGGAGTTTTTTTATTGCTGACTCGTGTAACTTCTCAGCATGTAACGGATATGTCATGACTTATGTATGGGAGAAGAGAGTCCCATGGAATGTACCTTATTTATTTTTGAAGCTGTTGATTAACTGTGTTTCGAACCTGGTCATAAGTTGATTGTAGGTAGGATAAAACTTCTGTTATTATCACCCTTACCATCCAGCATACTACTGGTGAAAAAGATTTTCCCTTTGAACAAGAAACCCCTTTTTACGTATCATCTTGGGTCATGTATGAGGTAGTTATGTTTTTGTTTCATGAGATTTGCACTCCTGCCGTCATGTCTCTTTAGACTGAAGTCTTTTTTGTATTACTTTTTGTCTTGATTTTCGTAAGTACTTCAGTCATTATTTTAATTGTAGTTATTTTGCTGTATTGAATTATTGTTTGTTACTTAGTAGTCTATTTGTGTATGGTATTCTGAAGTCAGTCTTTTTTTTTCTGCCTTTACATGCTTAATTTTCGAAAAGATCAACTCTTAGCAGTTTAGAAATAACGGATGGAAAATCCTTTTGCAGTGGTAGTATATAAAAAGGCTAGATTTTCTTTAATAAACTTTTCTTGCTCTACTTCTTCTCCTACTTATATGTAACATTCCATTTTAACAATGTATGTAATAATGATTCCCCTCCTCAGCAAAGCACCTAGTATCTTGAATTGAAACTGTGACTTGATTGAAGTCAATGGCAACATTTTCATTGAATTCCACAAGGCCAAGATTTCACCTCTATTCTTTGAGGCAGCATCATAGCGGTTACATGAAACAGTTTTTGTATTGCCAATCATCATGATACTTTATTAAATAGACTGTTTCCCCACTGTTTTTCATTTGAGAGTAATAGTGTTATATAAAACTAGATATGACAATGTAGTCATAAAATACTGAAGTTTTAATTTGCTTTTTTAAAAATGTTGCAGAGAAGTAACAATCAATCTTTGGGTAGGCCTCTTCTACCCCATGCAGAGATAATACTGCATATTTTTTTTTAGTGAATTGTTAATTTTTCTACTACATCAGAAAAGTATCAACTCCAACTCTTGCATTCATTGCTAAATCAGATGTTTTTAAAAACTCAAAAATTCATAGAAGTGTTTCATACAGAATTGGGTACTGAAGTGCAGAAGATACTGAAGGGATGCAAACCATGCATACTCTTTTGTGAAAGGTTTCACAGTGTAGTAAAACTATCTATGTGAAGAAGAGATGAACGGAATTGGAGGCATGTTTCTTCATGTTTCTTTAGAAAGATGAACATTTTGACATACCTAAGCATTTCCTGGGCAGATAAATATCAATTACAAGAAGTTACATGATTGTTTTTGTCCTGTAATGAAAAAATAATGATGGACATAGTTTGGAGTCCTGGGGAACCCTTTTCTGAATAGTAAAGATTTAATCTTGCAATTGCTCATGAAAGTAATGATAGTAAGACTAAAATTTAGAGTACTTGTATAATCTACTCTAAATTGCTTAGCAAAGTCCCAGAAGTTAAATCAAAAAATATTTAAATTTTAAGGAGATTACAGAAAAATTAAGGTAACCGCAATTTTTTTAGTTTATTATTGGAAGTAGGAAAATTTGAAGGATCTTAAAAAGTAATTTCTTGCATGTATGTTCTGCTATTTCATTCAGTTTTTTTGTGAAGTACTTAGTTGATTTCTGTGTATGTGCGTTTGAAGTTTAAAAATGAAATACTATATCTATCCATCCATTTCTATTATGCAGAATAATGCATGCGTGATTGTACCATGAAATTTTAAGAGACCAAATAACTCGTATTATATACCTGTGCCACACTATTACGGGGTTTTTGTAAGAAATTTGCTGTTTACATAAGGAAATGTTATTTTGTACTTATAGTACTTATTAAGTAAATATCAGAACAGATATATAATTACTGTAAGAATAAGTAGCATTTTAGATAGTAGTGTGATCCTGGTTTTTCTCTGTCTCCTACATTGCTTCCTGTTCTGGGTTTAAATTAAAGGGGAGAGGTATATGAGGAAAAAATAATTGGGCTGAAGCTGACTGTTCCAGTATGCTGAAGTGAAGGAAAGACTGGCTGGAGGCCCAGAAGATGAATGTTTTGCATATTTATGAAATGATGGAAACAAAGCTAGTAAATAAGCAAAGAGAATCATACACTGAAGGAAACAGAAGGGGAAGGTGGCAGGGAAGAATATGAAAGGGTAATAGTCTCTAGAGAGTAACTATTAAAACCTATTTTTACCATACCCTTAGGAAAGGAGGAGAAATCTGAAGAACAGTAGGGAACAGCCTGCTCTTTGTATAGGTTTCTTGCTATGTAAAAGGCAGGAGTTCTTTGTTTGTTTGTTTGGAGATGTTTGTTTGTTTATTTTTCCTAGAGTGACTTTACCAACATATGGAATTATTTTTCTCTTTCACTTGTTCATTCTTTGGGAAAGAACACTTACCCTCCGTTTTGGGGAGGTACAACACTGTCTAATTTCTTCATGGAGCTGGTGGAAAATGGAAGTGGTACTTGAAAAGTGGTAGCTTGAAAATGGTACCCAGTCTCTGACAGAATTGTCCCAGAGTCTGAATATACATTTACTTTAAAAGCTGTAAAGCTAGCTGAAAGTAAATATCTTGACATAGCTAACACCCAACATAAAATAAATCAAAGTTTATTTTTTAAGCAGGAATATATGTGATGATAAAATCCGTTGTTCACATCTGACCCAAACGGTAAAGTCAATATACTCTCAATGTTACCTTGAAACGAGCAGCCTGTGTTAGGAAACTCCTTTATCTGCATAGCTACATTATAACCTAAAATACAGAATTTGAAGAGCACGGCCAAAAAATTTACTAAGTTTCTCATGTCATTGCCTTGGTTTATTTCTTGTGAACAGAAATCTTACAGTGGGAAAAACAAAATTTCAAAGCTGCTATCTTTTTATTATCCTCATGCTTAAATGATATGTTACATGCAAAATCCCTGTTTCTCCCTCAGTAATTTCAAATTTTAATTATTTTACTTATGCTAAATCCATACTTCTTATTTATACTGAAAATATTGATCATTGCAAAGAACATGAACCTTAGAATAGTTTATATTAATTATTTCCAAAACATGCATGTTTCCATTTTGACCTGCATTTCTTTCATTGCTTGCTTGCCTTATCTGTTCCCTGAAATTAAGATAAATAAGTCCACACCTTCTCTGTCTAATAAGATAGTTGGAGAATCTTCCGTTCTAAATATCCTGAATTTCTGTAGAATTCCTGTACATTAAAAAGTTATCTGAATTTTCTATGTTTAATGTGCACTGCGTTAAACTACTTGTTTTTTCCTTGCCTGCTCTTTCAAGATGCCAATTAGGAATAATGGGAAGCAAGGGGTAGGCTAAGCATTGCAGTGCATTGTTGTGTCCATCTGTCTGTGATTATTCCAGCCAACAGTTTAAAGCACTTGATGCCCGATCATGCTCCCATTGAAGTTAATTGAGGTTTTGCTATTAGGTTTGATGGGAGTAAGATTGGGATCTGCACTGTTGTTGTTGTAGTCATTGCGTTTTTTTCTTGTCTGTGAAATTGCTACCCATCCATGCATGTGTTTCCCAGGTTTGTGCCGTTTTCACCAACGGGCTTGTTCTGCCGTTGTTTCAGGCTAATTATTAAATATAGGAAAAAAAAAAAAAAAGGATTATTGGTAAACTCTCTGCTGAAAGTATTTTTTTTAATTTATTGGTTTGTCTTTTAAAAAAAAGCACTTCATAAAACTAATTTCTTCCTTTATAATTCTTAGTATCAAACTGCATTTGAAATGCATCTGGTGATCTAGGTAACTATAAATGTATATATGCATTCATATATATGAAGAAAAAGGGGGAATATGCTTTATTAAAAAATTATCTGTATGTTTGAGAGTTTAACAATTGAAAATGAATTGAATGAATTACAAGCTGATTTTTTTTAATTACAGAAAAATTAAAAAATATGGTAACATTCATATGTAAAAAATCTTATTTAGTAATTCCTCCCCCATCAGAATGCAGCTTTACCAAGGTAGCACTTGAAAATAATTTTAGGAAGACTACAAGGATATTTCCAATACTCTCAATAATATTTCTATAGAAAAATTTGTCATCTGACCAAAATACCCATAATCCTTTTTATTGAAAATTTGAACTCCGAGACTGAAGAAGTAAAGCTCTTAAAGCTATGTTCGCTATTGTTTTCCTTACTCTTTTTTAAAATATTGATTCTAAAGGCTCACGAAGCTGAAGAGGAGGCACGGATGAATCCAGAATTTGCGGACAGGATGAAACAACTTGACAAAGAGGCTTCATACTATAGAGAAGAATGTGGCAAAGCTCAGGCTGAGGTTGACAGACTTCTAGAAATACTCAAGGAAGTAGAGAACGAGAAGAATGACAAAGATAAGAAAATTGCTGAGTTAGAAAGGTAATTCTTGTATTATTTGCTTTATGTTGAGTGGCATTTTTATTTATGTGATCTTCATTGCAGAGAATAGAAGTTAAGAGTAGAATACGTTTTTCAGGAGAGTATTTGTGATGTCTCATAAAACCATCAGAAATGAAAAAATCTGGAACCTGAGAATCACATCTCCTGTCTGTTGACTTTGGAACAATTGAGGGTTTCTACTTTTTTTCTATAAAAGGAACATACACAGGAAAAGGCATGTGCAATATACAGTGTGAACAAGCCTTCTGGAAAAGCAACATTAGGGGAACAACTTTGTCTTTCTACTGATTCTGATTTAGTAACTGGTAAATCAAAATTGTCTCCACGCATGTATCTTTAGCAGGAACAGCATCACTAGTTCTCAGAGGTCCTGGAAGTTATTGGTAAGTATTTCTAAGCAGTCTCATGCTGCTAGCTCCAAGTATTTCTCAATGTTTTTGCAGTCTTTGCCTCCATCTGATGAGTATTTTCTGATGTTGACAAGGTTGTTTTTGTCTTATTTCTGAGAAGGTTGTACAGTCTCTCCTTAGTGGAGATAGCAGGGTTTGGGGTTCCATTTGTTTTACTCCTTTTGAAATTAAATAATGCTCTGAAGCTTCTCCCATATGTTATGCTGCAATTTATTTGATTGATAAGAAATTTCTGGGTATCTCATTCCTTCTTTCCCTTCTTATCTATAGCCATGAAAGGAGAAATTTAAATGAAATTAATGAAAGAAAGAATTTTGTTTTCAATTATTTTAAGAATTGGTTTTCTAGTGATTAAGTTGGAAGAGGAGCGCTTCATAGTGTCAAAAGCGAGATTTTAAGGGTCTCCTCATTGTGGTTATTGCTATAGTTCCAGTGAAGACACAGCATTGCTCTGTCCCATGAAGGAGAATTACCAGGAAAAAGGGAGAACATCTGTGGGAAATGTTGGTTGCCTTGTGGGGAGGGAAAAAGCTGGCTTTAAAAGGAAGCAACATGGAGCATCTTTCAGTGATGAGGACTTATCAGCCTTCAGAGTTATTTGTTACCAAAATATATCTTTTTCTCTGCAGACATTTATTTTAATAATAATGAACAGTGTATAGCTATCAATCTTCAGATTTATCGTATCTTGAGAACTGAGACCTCAAATTTAAATGGAAAAATCAAGATTTGTGCTGAAAATACACTTGAGTGTTTACTGCTTTGTTAGCAGTTCGTGCTCTTACCACCTCAGGAAGGGTTTAGAATACTGTGTTGTTTGAGTTTTAGTATGTAAGGCAGATGTTGAAGGAAGGCATTAGTGAATTGTGGTCACTTTGTACACTGTGAATGTGATGTCTGCATAAACTCCAAGATCCTAAAGTAGGATGCTGGAAAAAGATAACAGGGTTAGTGAGTCTGTGTGGTCATGAAAGTGCTGGCTATTCCATCAGTGAGGGTGTTGTTGGGGTAGTTACAGACTGAAGTTTGTACTACAGTGACTTCGGGTGTGAGCAACCTGGTGGAGACTCATGTATTCTTTGCAGAAACAGTAGCTGATACCCTCATTGGGCTCTAAAGCATACTGCACTGTTGTGTAACAGTAGAAGCAAGAGTAAGTATGCTAAACTTTAGTGCAAGAGGATAATTTTAACAGATTTGTTACATAGAAATCACTTGATGCATTGAATGATTTAATATTAAAATGACAATTAAGATTAAAAGATGACCATAATGAGGTAGTGAAAGACGTGATCTAAAATTTGTAGTAAATGTTAATTCAAGTTAAATGCTTTATAAAAGAAAGAGATAAAGAAACTGTATAGATCAGTGCATTTATTAGAATTAAAGTTAGAATTATCCACTAATTTCAAAGAAACAAATGGGCCAACAAATGCAGAGATCTTGCTATGACCTTGTCAGCATACAGCTTCTTCTCATCATCTGATAATGGATTATGGAATGGAATGAATTTTCTATTTTTGTGTTACTTTGTTTGCAAATTTGATGTAGGCAATGAAATTTTGGGTCCCTGCTTTCCACTCCCTGCTAACTGCTTGGAAAATCACTTTGTACTACTAAGTATACACAGACTTTTAAAACAGGATATGCTATACTCTGAATGTGATGAAGTAGTTAAGCTTTGCTATTATATGCTTTTGTAATGCTTACAATAAAATGTCTGTGGTATGGCCAGCCAAGGACAGTAATATGTAGCAGTTTTTGGCACTCATCCTGCTCTAAGATTTGTTAGCAAATTCTGTTAACTTTAATGCAGTTTCTTATTTGATGTAAGTTATGTACAACCTCCAAGATTAGTTTGAAATTCCTATGTATCAGTTTATCAGGGACAAAGTGGTTGATAGTACAGCAAGGCCAGCAATATAAAGGTATAATAGGGAAACTCTTCCTACTAATTACGTAAGGTTTCTCTAAAATTTCTTTTTTCCTCTTGCTTCCTCCTTTTCTAGAGGAAAATCCCTATAGAGGGAACTTTGATGTTGAAATTCCCCTTTCTAGAGGGTTAGGTGGAGCGTAAATTACTGTACGTTTTATGAAGTGCTACTTTTTCTGCTTGTAATTACTGATTGATTGGCTCATTACTGAAGGTAAGAGGTGGAGCCAAAGCTCAGTTTACCCACTTTGTGGGAATAAAATATTATGAAAACAACTTCAACTTTAACAGAAGCATGTTTGCAAATGTTCGTTCCTTCTTATTCTGCTGTTTTGTAATTCATATAATGTGCTCTAGGTTGCTATTTTCTCTTCTTACTTTCTGCCCTTCTTTTTTTTTTTTCCTGCTCAGAAACTACATATCTTCAGCATTTCTCCTAACTTCAGATGCAAAGGCTTATCTGGGGTTTTGTAGGAAAGTGAGTGTTCTTTTGAAACATATTTGCTGGTTAATAGCTTGCTGGGATCCATGTGCATTCCTATGCCAACATCATCTTTACATTGCAAGATAGTTGCTTTTCAGTTGTGCAACATAAATTATCAACATTTATCACCATACATTTCTGAGAGAATTATAAACTGGAGCATTGCAAGCTATGGTATCTCCACGATATTAAATATTTTCACGTATAAATTCATCAGCATAATGTATCCTTATTAAATTGATTAATCTAAGAAGTTATAATATTTGTAATAATTTTATTACTTACAAATCCAAATAAGAATTAAAACAGAAAAATAAATTACTGTTTAAACAGTTTAGTTGACCATATATTATAGAGTGTTAAATACTCAAAGGTAGAGATGTCTGCTTCAAGATAGGGGAATTATAAGTGTATGCTGTTTTGCAGATGAACGTTAGTAATACTGGTGAAAGTTTCATACGAACGGTAATTCTTTTGGTTTTAACTTGGTTTTCATGCCTCAGAAGCTGTCACACTTCTGAGTAGCATCATTTAAGATCCACGATTCATACTGATTCTCATATATACAAACATGTTGGTCTGTTTTGTAAATTATTCTGTATATAAGAAAATACTTTATATGTAATAACATATTACCATTACGTAGGAGAAACAATTCTTTTTCTGCTACTAATACTGTTTTGTAACTTTTATTGCGTCTTTCATGGTTTGTCTGTTTATAATGAGAATAGAGTAAAATAAAATGAAACATCTCTTGGCCTAATGTACTTTCAATAAACTTAACTCAATAATTTTCTTTGGTTTTCTTGGTGAAGGAAATATGGTATATTTTTCTTGGACAACATAAATGAAGCTGGGCAAGATAGTGATCAGCTCAAATTTTAATGTGAAAGACCTAGCCAAAGTGGAGATAATTGAAGCTGAAAGAGAACTGTTAGGATGGAAGTATATTGTGCAATGCCTTTTTAATGATGTTAGAATGAAAAGTATAATTATTTATGGACTATGCTGGGGAGTTTGAATGATGAAACTGAGTAAAATTTAGTAGTACAAAATGCAGGCCTCTGAGTTTAGGACCAGCAGGAGTACCAGCTGTAAATGACAGATAATCCTTTGAAAACAGCTTGAGAAGAAAGAGTTTGGTTAATTTGCCTGTGGTAGTGTTATTATGAGCTATCTAAATAATGAAGCAGACATCTAAATAATGAGGTTTGAGTAGTCCTGAAATGTCCGAATAAATGTTTGCAATAGGAATAGGAACATATTAATGTTATAAGTGCTAGCAAGACCACATGTGGAACCTTGCTCTATACTTCTCATCAGTCGTATTCAAGAAAGTTGAATTAAAACTAGAAACAGGTGCAGAAAAGGCTGGTAGCATAATTAAAGGAATAGAGTGCTCATGTCAGAAGAGGAATCCAAAAAACATTGGTTTATTTCTCTAGCAATACAAAGGCTCAATAGGGATGCTTATTCTCTATAGATATATGAAGGGGTAAGCACTGCAGTGAAAGAGCAGTGAATTAAGTGAAAGAATAGTGTTGACCCCAAATTCAATGAGTATAAATTATCCATTAATAAATTTAACTTAAAAAGAGAAAGACACAGTGGTCTTTTATATTTAGTCATCCACAGGGACATGGAAAGAGTTTGGGAAAAAGCTAATAGTGAGACATAGAACAGGACCAGCATGAGTGAGTTACTTCCTCTACGGCTAGCTATTGACTGACCTATCTGGTAATCAATAAATATTGTAATCCTATCAGGTTGTTGCTGTTTAAAGAGTGAAATGTTGGAGCTTAATGATGGAGGGATGAGAAAGTACATAGTAGTGTGGATTATAGGAGGTTGGATCTGTTTTTTTTTCCAATGGCATGTTAGCTGCTCAGTCATTTACTTGATTTCGTGTAACTTCTCTGTAAAGCCTATAAAAATATGAACATTCCTTTAAAAATATTGTTTTAGCTCTGAGACAAAAAGTTTACTTTCAAAATGCAGTGTATAGTATAGTAAATAATTGCTGCTTGGGCTAGATGACCGTGTAGCGAACAGAGAAAAAGTCATAAAAATGGGACCCAGTTAATAGGTGGGCCTGAATTGTGGTTTCTGCATGGTGTCATTAGTTCTCTTAAGGACAGGTCATGAAAAAGCCATTCGTCCCGTTCTTTCTTAAATGAGGTGTCAGAGATTGTACTTTTTTGCACTGCAGTTAGGAGCATCCTGATTATTTGAAGCAGAAAATGTCTATTTAGGGTTTGCTGGTTTTGACTGAATGAGTGTCATGTTCAATATCATTTTTGCAGTTATTCAGTGTGCATAGTTACCTATCTTGCATCTACAATGACAAGTTTTATATGATACTCTCTTGATGCATATTTAAGCTTTTGTGATATTCAGACCACAGTTAATTTTATTCTGAATTGCTTTGTATTTGAATTCTGATGAAAATAACAAGTCCACACAGCACTAACGATTCATTGAAGAAAATGCAAAAAATCAGCATCTTGAAAAATTATGTTAATAAAGTGTTTTGTGTCTTTTTTTTAAATTTACCTTTCATAAATGAATAAATGTGCGCCATGGACACTCTAAGGATTGGTCTAGTTTGGTGTAAGGCAAGAATTTATTTTGTTGTAGTTAATTCAAAGGGCATGTTAACTTATTTGTTCCAAAATATCTATCAAGCATCCAGATATTTTCAGTGATGAAATATTAACCTTATACTGGGACTGAAAAAAAAAATTGCTATCAGCTTGAGAAGGGGCAGTATTTCCTGGGGGGAAAATCTGTGTCTTTGATCATTATTAGGTACAGTGCTTTGTGAACTTTAACCTGACAGCTCTGAACAAGCTGCCAAATTGTTTAGCTGTTTTGACTTTCGTTAAAAGAGTTGGTGAATGTGGTCCATCAAACCCATGTTGGTTCAAAAAAAGACTTCATGGCATATGAGACATTTGTGTGGCAGCAAACACTACGAAATTGTCTCCACCTAATTTGTTTGCTCCATTTGGTATATGTGTACATTGGGATGATTATAAACATGGATAGTTTTGCAAAGTCCACAAATGACAAGGAGCCGTTTTACTTTGAAGTTTCTGTTTTGTTCGGAGCTCAGCAAGGAATTTTATTTTAATTTTTGCTCTCCCTTTTCTTTTTTTGAAAAAAGACTACTGATGTAACATCTACTTGTTATATATTTAAAGAACTAATATGTGCCTCCCTTTATTCTCTTTTGCTGTCTTCCTCCCTATCTGTTTTTCTCCAAACTGCTGCTTTCATCCCTACTCCAACCAGCTTGACTTCCAGGTCAGTATTTTCTGCTCTCCTACTTAATTGCTCCTTCCTCAAGCAAGGTTTTCATTGACATTTCCTTTGTTTTTTTGCTGTCTGGATTCCATATTAATAACTTCTGTTTGCCCCCCTGCCTTTTTTTAAATGTTAGACACTATTGTGAAGTTTTTTGTCGTTCCGCTTCTACATCAGAAATTTATCTCAGTAAATGAATGCTTTGTCAAAAGTTTTTAAGAAAAGAATGCTCTTTAACAACATATTGAATTCATATGTTGTTTTGTATGGAGATTTTTTTTCTTTTTTCAGTATTATTTTTATTATCTTTGCTTAGAAATTCATCTTTCAGGAAAGCTTTCGGGTAGACACCCCAACCAAGTCATGAATTGGACAATAACAGTAATATATGAAGAGATTTATACTTACAGTCAGAGACTTAGTATCACTTTTACTGCCACTGCTTCTACTCTTATTGCAAACAGAATAGGAAAAGTTGGAGTGGTTCAGCTTCTCGTTTAGCAACTTCTGGCTGTTTGTACTGGCCGGATTCTGGACTAGTACGTAACTTCAAGGGAGAGGTATATACGTGTATATTTTCTATGCAGTGTTTGTATACCACGTGTTCTGTCAAATGTTTTTCTTTCTTCCACATTTTAGATTAGTTGTGCTGGCATTTATGCTTGTGTGTTGTTTTTGAGTAATGTGTATAAAGGATTGGGTAATGTTCTCATGGAATGAACATATGTAGATGCTAATTTTCTCTGGAAATTCCTCTGGAGTAGCCTGAGTTTCTACAGATATCAGTCTTGTGACCATAGATGAAAAAATTGTGAACCTATGAAAGCTCCTGTCCTACTGATTCTTTTCCTTTTCCAAGTCATGCGGGGTCCTAATGACTATTCCGTTTGTGTAGTACGGTGCACCCCAAAATATTGTTAACTAGATTGAACAGTGCTGCAAGAGCTACAACGAGACCTGAGATCTGGCTTATTCAGAAATTAACTGAAGGTCTACAGAGGTTTTTTTTTCATATTAAAATACAGATATATTTGGCTTTCAGGTAGAGGATTCTATGGTTTCAAGGACCTGGACAGAGAAGAGGGAATTGGGATATGCAAGTTTGATTTTGAGCAGTAGAGAAAGTTTCAAACTGGGGTTTGCTGAAACCACACAGCCTAGGAAAATTGCATTTCTGGATGTGCATCCCAGGGACCTATGTGGGAAGATTTGAATATTTTATTTATTTTACTGTTGTGAAGGAAAAGGTGAGGATGGAAAAAATGTATGTCTGATATTACAGACCGCTTTTACTCTGTATAGCTACAGTTTAAGAAGCATGGATTAACAGCTTGATGAAAAAAAGTGAAAAGGTATCATATTAGATCACTACAGTAAATGCCTGGGGTGAGAGGGCAGGTACATTGTGAAGTAAGGGTTAAAAAAAAATTAACTGTTTCAAACTTAACATTTAACAAAGCATAATGACATTTAAAACAAGAGCAATAAACAACAGGAATTAGACATTCTTTCACTGCCTATACCTGTATCAAACAGTGAATCTGAGACCAGAGCATAATTTTTGTATGCTGTTGCAGCAGCAGTCTGCAGAACGGAAGGAAGATTTTTCTTTTTTTCTCTTGTTTTACTTAGCATAGGTCCAGAAATTATTTACCTCAATAAATGATAATGGTGAAAGGTTTTGATAATATCAGAACGTGATGTGGCTAAAATGTAGCTATCCCGAAGGAAGATTTACTCCATGTCTTCAGATACCTTTTCAAGATAGCTGAGTACATTCAGATTGTACTGTGAGTTTTTCTGTAGAAATTCTTAGGCAAATGTGATGATTTTTTTCCGTGTTGCAGAATTGTTAGAGTTCATTTGGAGGAACTTTGAAAGCAATTCCCTCTAAAGTTAGGTAGATTTTCAATTACGTGACTATAATCTTATGTCATTACTTATCATGTTAATGTATTATCTTGTGGTGTATATTCAAAGTAAAAAATGATCTAGTCAGCATTTTTTTCTCTTAGAATACCTAGATGGCATTTTTTCTTACGCTTATGAATGACTATAACGTGTTTATAATGAAGTCTTAGAAAATCTGCTTAGTATTTTAGAAACTGATGACTTTATATGATTTGGATTATTACAGGCTAATCTATTTCTTCCTTTCTCCACTTCTTCCTAGTGAGAGGTGTTTAAGCTAGTTCCATACTCTTACACTCATTCCTTATATTTTGTTTTTCTGAATTAGGTGATTCAAGCTTATACAAGTTTTGTCTCTTGTACTGTAGCAGCTTTATTTTAGGCAGGGGCAGCCCTTGGAATAGGCTTTCAGTCACTATCAACATAGAATGTGTTTACATTTTCACAGACCAGTTGGACTGGAGTAAAAAGGAGGGAGTAAATTGCCAAGAGTTTTCAGGCAGATAGTTTCAGATGTCAAAGTTTTGCATTTGCAGATATTGTTCCTAGTATCAGATTGCCATATGGCACATTTGACTAGAATTATGGCAAATCTGCAGTCTGCCTTTACGACATTTTCAGATCTGAAGTTTTCAGACCTTTAATGGTAATGCATACTTTTTGTGCAGCATTATTCTCTCTCCGTATAGAAGCAGAGCTCTCCAGTTTGGGAAAGTTTTTGTATCTTAGTCTCAAAACTGAATTCTCACCTACTTTCCAGAGAGGATTTGAATGCAGATGCCTTGGAGCTATCTGGCAAAAGATGGTTCATTATTAAAACATTGACAAGACAAGATGTTTTCTTCCTGCATTATAGCACATCACAATCACCAGTTGCTTTCCAGCTGGCAAACTCTGTTTCTCCAGTTTGAATCTTGTTGTTTTGCTGTAATGAATTGGATGAACACTGATTGGCTTTCATTTTATTGTATATTTACTACAGGCAAATTTTAAAGTACTTAAATGGATAATTATTACACGTGAGTTGTACAAATAGTGAAACAATTTATTTTTGATCTTTCTTTCTGCCACTAATTAATTAGAGGCATTTGCTTTGGAATAGACTTTGATGAAGTTAGTATCTGAATGAGCACTATGGTGTTTCTATCAAAACATATTCAACATTTATTGAAAATTGCACTAGCCAGTGAGAGCTTAAAGAAAAGTTTTATGTTATGTGGTTGTCATTATGGTTGATTTCACTGGAATTCAATGATTGGTATGCAGAAACATTTGTTCAGCAGTTGGAAGCGCAGTTTGTGTTATGTTTTATTGACCTAAAAAAACAACTGACCTTATTGAAGCAAACTGTCCACATAACCCTGCTAACTTTCATCCCTGGAGTCCTAGATAAGTTGTAGCATATGATTGGAGTTTATTGTAGGATTTCAGTGAAGTGTTAAGGTTTCACAGCTTGAATCGTCATTAAAGTCAAAACTTAATTTAAGTAACAGATCTACTAAATATTTAATTTCTGCTAATATATATATTCTTAGTTGCCATTTTATTCTTTTTTATATAGAATTTTTAGAATGGTTAGAAAAATGTATCTGTTTCATAACATGATGTGCTATTGATTCTGATGGCAAATAAGAAAATAAAATACATTATTATGTAAATATAGTTTTTTATATATGTGTGTATGTGTGTGTTTGTGTTTCTACCTACATAATAAAATAAGTTCTAAGCACAAGAAACAGTTCTGTAGCTTTTTTTGTTTAGCTTACAGCAAGTTATATACTCCCCAACTTCTTCTGCCTGTAGATAAACAGGAGATGGATGTTTTTTCCTACATGTATAATATACTGATCAGTGCTAGAAATTTTCCCACCAGCCCCTGATGTTGGCCTTCCTCATTGCTTCCATGGGAGGCAAAAGCTCAATGAGATGTGCAAGGTAAGGTTTAACAGAGTTTTAAATTTAACTTACTAGCCTGCCACAGTTTTGTCAAATGTCAGTTTGATGGTTCCAAGGGCAGATGGATATGTTGTTCAAAGATAATTTCCCTGGAGAAAATGAGATAGTGTAGTAAAGAAAACTGAGAGAATCTGTGATATACTTTACTCTTTAGAGAGTCTGGTTTGTCTGAGTGAGAAACATAGTTGTCATATTGGGTAATTGGCAGATTGTTGTCATGTCTTTCTCATAGTCTGTTGGCTATGTGTACAAAATTGCCTTTTAAACATTTTGAAAGAGGTGAAGATTTGATAAAAGTTCATTTATGTTTAGCTGGCTACATGTACGTTTTCAATTTGTGTACATTTACATTTCATTTTATTTAAGAAATAGTAAAGGAGAAAGTGTATTTCATTGGAATTGCATTTTGTTGGAAAGAAAAAAGAGTCAAATCATCATCTTTTACAAAATAAGCAGAATACATAGAGATAAACAGTGAGAAGATACCATTTATCACTGTTGTGACTGCCTGAGGTACAATGATGTCAGGATATCCTGTGTACAATAGAGCTGTGTGTGTGAAGAGACATTGTGAGATGAGCTTACCCTCAAGAAGCTGTGACTGAAGAGAGGTGGGGAAATAAATTCAAGAATTGCACTGTTGGTGCATGGTCCAATCATGTTTTTTGCTTCTATTAACGTAGGAGGAGGCTAACTGGATTGAAATGCTCTGATCTAAATTTATAATAAGGGGAAGTTAGTACGTCAAAAGAAGAAATCATACAAGGTGTACCTGATTTGTTTGGAGGTCTGAAAAGGGTTCTGCAAAAGCATGGGAAGTTTGTTTTATGTATTGAATGGAATGGATGGATTGATCCTGAGAACTGCTAGGTTGAGCCAAGAATTGCAGCAGAAGGATTTGTTTCAGAAGGAAATTGCAGAGAACATGGAGTGCACCAGAGGAGGTTTGATCCTGATTGCTGTTAGGCTGAGCTGGACATACTGTGGAGGAGTTGGATCCAGAGAACAACTGGAATCAAGAGTTGTTAAGAAAAAATTTTATCTGGAGAGCAGCTGGAAAAGACCTGATGAAACAGCGGAAGGATTGAAACTCCTTTGCCAGATATCAGACAACAAACTGTGTTCAGTTACTG